AAAGTTGATTTGATGTAGTCCATGGAGCTTTGCTATATGCAGCTTTCAGTGTTATTCACAAATGGAAGAATAGGAGGTCAATCATTTCAGTGTAGATAAATAAAGTGACACAAATAGGAAAATATGATCTAAAGCAGAGGTGTTTGAACTTAAACTGGCCGTTATAGCTCAGGAAAAAGGTGCTGAATTCCTCATTGATGGGCAGCAAAAATTGTAGCTTCGATATGCAGCAAAAAAAGCCAGCAAAATGTGGTGATATCATAAGGAAGGGCTTGGGCTCTCAAAAAAAGAAAGAGCGCATCTTTTGCCTGCTGTGTAACAGCTTGGTGCACCCACACCTGTGCAGCTCTGGCCTCTGTTTAGGCACACAGTGGACTTAGGGTCCTGAGCAGAGCAACTGAGATGATCAAGGGGATGGGGCAGCTTGCAGTACGAGGAGGTCCTAGGAAGGCTGGGATTTTTCCTTGGAGAAGGGGGAGCAGAAAGGACCAACCCTACAGAATTGTAGAATGAATGTGGGCCTAATGCTCATCAGATTCTGCATGACTAGAATTAGAGGCCATCGATGAGTCTGGCAGATTGGTTTAAAATGGATAAAAAGGATACGGGGCAGAGGGGAGAATGAACTTCTGGAACTTGCTGCCACAGGAGGTTGTGGAAACAAATAGGATCAGCAGGTTTATAAAAGGTATAGCAAATTCATGAGCTGTCAACAGACAGATGCTGAAGTCAACAGGCAGGAATGTACCCTCTGAAATTGCTATTACTGTTGGTGTGAATGCTGGAGGAGCACAATCACAAATGGCTAGGCTCGTGTGCTGTCCCCAGATGGCATCTCCTGCTGCTGAAAACAACACTGGGTGGGAGGAACCAATGATGTTACCAGCAGAGCATTTCCTATGTTCTCAGTTTCACCATCCCTAAGCAAATTCAGATCTGCTCAGGTGGTTGGTGTGTGCGAGGAAGACAGGGCAACTCACAGGAAAAAACCTTTTGCATTTCTATTCAATTTCCATCTCTGTAGTGAAAACCTGATCAGTCCTCAGCGGACAACGTCAAGCAGGCCTGACTGAAAAATGTTGTAATCTCATTGAAAAGGGTTGCTAGTGGTACAGTTGCAGCAAAAATCTAGCTAGATTTAATTATCAGAAAAGACATGGTCAGCCACAAAAAGCAGGTGGAAACCCAGTGCAAAGTAGGTGTGGAAAGTTTCTGTCATTTGGGTGATGAATGGCTGCAATATGGCACTGAGAAGGCATCAGTGGCCAAGGTCCTGTTACCACAGATCTGCTCCTTCTCCTCCCAGGTATAAATCCAAGACCTGGATTCTGTTGTGAACATCTCTGATGACGGGGGATTCCTGCTGCTTAATGCCTTTTCAGTCACGGGAGCTCACATAATGAGACCTGAGTTTCTCACAGGTCAGCTTTGAGGGGGATCAGCAAAAAGGTTTTATAAGATGTTGCTTGCACTGTTGAACTTCTTGTGATGTCAAAGGAGAGTATACAATGTTTTAAGTTCTGTGAATACTTGTTTTTAATCAGCCCCATCCTGTCTGGAGGGGCTCATACAGCTGTGCTTGATGTGGCTGCTCCCCTGGGAGCAGTTTTGCTTTTAGGGAAGGGAGGAGAGGAAATATTTGAAGTCCTTCATCAAAATGGCCATTTTAGTGAAGGCTGGCTCTATTTTCTGTTTTCTACAACCACTTTTCATTTTCTTGCTGGCAAAAAAAGCCAGTGGAGAAGGTGGGAGGATCCTGAAAACTGTAGATTAAAGTATATTTCAATATTCCCATATTTTCAGACTGCTTGCCTGAAAAACATCCGCTTTGCCTCAGCAGCTGATTGAAGCCGTCTCCAAACAGCCACTATCTTTGGGAAGTGGTGGAGGGTGATGGCGTCACAGAAATGAGACAATAGGGTCTCTTATCATTAACAAGGTAAAAGGAGGAAACTAAGGAACTTTATACCAGGCAACTTCAAATCACAAAAAGCAAGTGGGACATTTAATCAAAGAAAGAGATGAGTAATAACCACGGCCATTGCCAAGAATGAATCATTTCAGATAAGTCTGTTTTCCTTCTGTGACAGATTCCAGTCCTTGGTTCAACATTATTATTCACTGTTCTTTCATTAATAACTTACGTGTTGTAATGGAGAATTTGCTTATTAAATTCTCAAATGTTCCTCAGATAGAGCGCCTGTGAGCATTCCAAAGCACTATGTTAAAATTCCAAATTATCTAGGCAAATCAGAGAGATCAGTTCAGTATGGAAAATCTGACATTTAGGAAAGAGTAACTGTCCAAATACATGGAAAAAAACCTGCTTACACAGCAGTTTCCCAACAAAAAACCTACAGGTTGCACCAATCATAAGTTACACTATCGGCATGGGATGAATCAACAGAACAGCTTGTAGAATGCATGATGTTTTCCCTCCTCTTTCCAGCAAAAGGATCTCTCAACCAGTGTCCTAAAATCAGCTTCCAGTAAGGAATTAATTCTGTATCCTCCCGCTGCTTCTCTGCTAAATTCTGAATGGGAAATTCCTGGTAAACTCCTCTAGGATGCTAGACCTCCTCCAGAAATATGTAACTCTGTGTCCCTTTCCAGGACGCACTCTCTGGGGCCATGACTATTTATTAGAGACTAATAAGAGTAGTGTCCAAGATACCTGGACAACGCTGCTTGCAACCCCTCAAGAGACTGGTAAAAGTGTTGTGATCAGGTAAGTCATAACCATCAAGCTTGTTTCCTAACATCATTTTAGCTCCTCTTTCAATAAAACTGAGCTATGAGATGCCATTTGCCTTGGTGACTACCATGTAACAAAATACTGTGTTGTTCTGTGGGTATCTTTGAACCATAGATGCTTTGTCCATCAAGGGTAAACGTTGATGAGAGGCAAGAAAGACCTTCAGATAGTGAAGACATCAGAACAGGCCCCAGTGAAGGGACCCTGGGGCTCCCACGCCCCTGTGCTATGAGCCAGGAGGCATGGGGTGCCAGGCTGCAGGGGAGGGCTCCTGCACCCTTCAGGGCTGGCACCAGGGTCCCCAGTGTGCTCAGGACCTGGAGCTGGCTGGAAGCCCATCCTGGCAGCCTGCTTCTCGCTGCCCGGCGGCTCCAGCTCAGCCCTGCGTGCCCTGCCAAGGCCTGGCCCTCTGCACCTTCTGCCTGGCCCCGATAAAGCACCACGGCTTGAGGTCCCCATCTTGTGGCAGCAGGGACAAATGGCTGGGACAAAACTGATCCCGGTTCTTTGAAGCTCAGCCCTTCTTTGGCCAGGCAGAGCCCTGGGGAAGCGCTGCAGGGCCAGGACACTGCCCACTGCCACCCGAGGACACAATGCGGCGTGGGAGCGGGTGGAAGAAAAAGCCTGGCAGAGGCAGCGGGGACAACTGCCAACCCCTTCCCCTCCACGTACATACTGTCCCCTGCCTTGTCACTCATGCACACACCACGCTCAGGACCACCAGGGTCCTTTGTGGCTGGGTTTGGAGGAGCCCAAGTCTACGCTGGATTTGACGTTGGCGCTTCCCAGTGTTTTACACATTAGTCCACACCGCCCCGCACACCTGTGTGCCCTGACCCCCCCACCATACCCCTGCTCTTCCTGAGCTCCCCAGGGAGCAGACAGTCTCTGCGGAGCAGAGTTGTGCCCGCAGCTATGTCTGAGTGATGTCAGCTGGAAGGGGGTAAACCTGCTCCAACACCCTGCTCCATGTGAAGGCAGATCAGGTTGGTCAGCGATGCCCTCACCAGCTTTCTCTTCCCCTCCTCACCATGCCCAGGTGTGGTGAGAATGTGGGGTTGTGATACCTGTGGTGCTCTGCAGGAGAAACCCCAGGAGCTGGAGGGCTTCGCTCTGTCTCCGGGGTCATTTGGGGTCTCTCCTGCCTCTGGTGCATTCACTGATGGTGACTGGAGGCCATGGGGCTAGGGCAAGCATCCATCCTTGCAAGTGCCAGGGAGCAAAGGGGCCCGTGGCAACCTCAGCTTAACTCCACGCTGTGGCTGCACCAGCCCCCCGGGGCTTTCTTGAACCTTCACCCCAGCACCGAGCACCTCCCAGCCCTGGCAGGGATGGGGCAGCCTTACTCAGCACCTGGCAGGTTGTAGCTCCCTGGGACTATCTGCTGCCCTGTCTCCCACCACACCCACAGCTGGAGGAGAGCCCACACTCCCCTTTATCAGCCCCCTGCAGCACACCCCCCCCTCCACCCGCCCTGCTGCAGGCTGTGATAAGGGCTGGGGGCTGCACGGACACCAGCAGTGGCACCCAGCACCACTTCACTGTCTCTGCTCATTTTCCTGCCCTGACACCCCTTACCCCGCTGCAGTTCAGGGCCCAAAGAGCAGGATTTGGGGCCGAGCCCTGTCTGCTCCCCTTGCAGTCCCCCATGCTCACTGTCTCCCCAAGCCTGCCAGCCCCCCAGGAACCCTCCAAAGTGACTCCCCAGAAATACAGCACTGGGTGGAAAAAGAAGCCCTACGATGCCACACAGCCCTGCGTGCTGGGGATGCACAAAAAAATGTCCTCGCTGTGCCACCACACAGAGGGTCACAGGCACCAGGAGTCCCTGCACCCCACTGGCTCCTTCAAGCAATAGCAGGAGATGATCTCCAACAATTTGGCCTCAAGCGGGACAAGGGGTGCACAGGGCTGGCGGGGCAAGAGGGGATCCCAGTGAGGTGCTCTGGTGGGAAGGCCAGGACAGGCTGGGGTTGCAGGGAGAACCAAGGGCCAATCTCTGGGCCACTCTCCACGAGTCTTTCCCCTCCGCCGGTGCCTGGAAATGCTCTGCTTGCTCCCGGAGCCCCGCAGCTGGCAGAGCAATGTCTGTCTGCCGGGCACCACCACCCAAACGCAGCTTCCTCTGAGAGACAACAAAACCAGAGCCCCTTACCACCGCATGTCCACCTGGCAGGGGGAACCCCCAGAGCAGATCCCTCCCGCTCCCTCCCCGCAGGCAGCAACCAGAGCAGGACACCAGGGCTGGAGCACAAATGGAACAGATTTTATTTCAGATCATTTGGCTGCTTGCTGTCAGAGGGCTGGCAGTGTGTTGGGCCCAGCTCTAGCCATGGTGCCATCTTAACGGTACTTGGCAGTCAGCACGTTGCCCACAGCGCACAGGAACTTGTCCAGGGAAGCGTGGACCTCCGGGGTGAGGAGAGAGGGATGGTGGATGGCCACCACCACCAGGAAGCTTTGGCCCAGCAGCTAAAAGGCAAAATGAGATGGTGAGCAAGGGGGGGGGGGTGAGGTGAGGGGGCAGCCGGGGGCATGAAGGAGAGGAGCCAGGCTGGTCACCACTTCCCAGACACTCACTTTGAAGTTGACAGGGTCCACGCGGAGCTTTTGGGCGTGGAGGTCGCTGAGCTTGGAGAGGGTTCCTGCGATGTCATCGATGTGGTTGACAGCCTCGATCAGTGCACCCGCCACCTTCTTGCCATGCGCCTTGATCTGAGCGGAGCCATGGGACAGGTCGAAGTGGGGGAAGTAGGTCTTGGTCTGGGGGTAGGTGATAAACATCCTGGGGGACAGAGGGGGTAAGAGGCGGATGGGGGTGGATAAGACAAGGTCAGGGTCACACACGACACCACAGCTGCGGATGGGGAGAGGATGGGGGGCTGATGGGAGGGAACGAGGGACAGAGAGCAGAGGGGACGACGACAGGGATGGACACATACCTCTCCAGGGTCTGGGCGCCATACTCGTCGGCATTGCCGCCAATTTTGGAGAAGATGCCCTTCACGTTGGTCTTGTCGGCGGCGGACAGCACCATGGTGTCACCTCCGCGTTGGCAGCCCCCAGCACGGGTGTCCCCGCTGGCCGCCGCCGCCCTTATATGCGGTGCCGGGGCACCTCCCGCCCCCCCGGCACCGCCCCGCTCCGCTGGACCCCGGCCAGGCGGGGCCGCCGCCCCCCCGGCCCGCACCCCGCCCCGCCCCGGCACCCGCCCCGGCACCGGCCCCGGGCCCGGCGGGAGGGGGCGCTGCCCCCCAGAACCCGCTGGGGTCTGGGTCAGGGTTAGGGTTAGGGTTTGCATCAGTGCAGGCTGGGGGTTCCGTCCCCTCTGGCGCAGGCTGACTGCAGGGTTAGGCTTTGGCTTAGGTTTAGGCTTAGGTTTAGGGTCTGCACTGGCACAGGCAGAGGAGTCTGTGTGTGTCCCCTCCCGGCACAGGCTGGGGGTTGGGGTTGGCGTGGGGTACCGGCTGAGGTCCCCCCGGCGCAGGCAGCTCTGGCAGAGTCTGGCTGCGTTCTGGTGGGGCGGTGGGAACAGCAGCGTGGGGGCTGTAACTTCAGTAGCGTGGTGGGAGTCTGTCCCCCACAGCTTGAGCCCACCCCGTGCCCCTGGCACCCACGTGTGGCGCCGCAGGCAGCTGCACGTACAGACTGGCCCGTCCGACACGGCCTCCACGAGCACACGTGGACTGCCCCAGGACACGCGCTGCCCCTACCCGCGCTGCCGTCTAACACAGCCCCCGCACATACACCGTCCTTGCGCGCACACGTGCTGCCCCCACGCACACCCTGCCATCCAATGCAGCCCCTATACACACAGCCACTCCTCCACGCTGCCCCACTGCACCTACTGCTTCTCTTCCCCTCAGCGCACCCCAAACCATTGCACCACGAGGTCTGTGCCCTCTTCACCCCCTGCTCCCTGAATCGCAGTCACATCCCTTTGCATACAGACCTCGGAGCAGCCCTGCCCCAGCTCTCTCTCCTGCGCACGTACTGTGCTGGCCCCAGTGCTGGGGGGGCACTGGGTGACCCTGACTCCTGGGAAGAGGAGACACTTGGCAGAGCCACGGGCATCAGCACCGGGCACTGATGCAAGCACTGGCTTGCAGCAACAGGAGCTCACAGCCGGGGAAAGCAAGCATGCAGGGCCACAGTGGCCCATGGTGAGCCCCAAATGATCAAGGTGAGGAAGGCAAGAAGGGCAAGGAAGATGAGGATGGTGAGGAAGATGAGGAGAGTGAAGAGGGTGAGGGGGCCTGCAGTGCTTCCAGTAGGTTTGAGAGCTGGTGCAGGCAGGCAGGGGACAGTTCACACCCCTGTTTCCTCCATGGCCAAAGGTTTTTATCATTTGTGTTTGGGGGAGATTAGCTGGGGCTGGCACCATTTCAGATCGGGGAAGGAGGGGCTGATCTTCTGGGAAATGGAGCCCAGGGAAGCAGCATTGGGGCAGCATGTCTGCTGCCTGTGTGTGCATCAGGAGGGTAAGCTGGAAAGGCAGAAGAGCCCCTCAAACTGGTGGCACAAGAATAACTGGGTGTAAATGCACACGAAGACACCAGGCTGCAGACTGGGATGTGTCTGAGGATGGAGGAAAAGCGCTGTGGGTTCATGAGTGCACTTTCAGGAGCAGGGGCCACCGTGGCGCAGGGACTGCCAGCCCTGTGTCTTGGTGCAGGCAGGGACCTGCATGCTCAGTGCCCGCAGGCACCGCTCTCCCAATGCACCTTCTCCCATCCCTCACCAACCCTCATCTCCTCGCTCTGGTGTTACAGCTCAGAGTAAACCCAGGGCTAGTTTAATAGCTTATAACCCACCACCCGTGATCTAAAGAGGATGATTTTATTTATTTATTTATTTATTTTTAATTCAGGCTCCAAACCCCTGAAAGCAGTGGCCCTGTGCTGGACTGCAGCTTTGCCCACTCTACTCCCACCCTGACCAGATGCCAGGGGACGAACAAACACCCAGGGCAGGGGTGGGGGTACTTCCCTGGCAGGCAACAGGGATTTGTGGCTCAGGTGCTTGAGCCCAAGAGCAGTATTTCTGCTTAATGGTCTCTGGTGGATTTTTTTCACTCCATTAACTTGTCTGATTGCCTTTGGAGCTCATGCAGGCTCTGAGCTCCCACAGCATCCCCAATAAAGTCCTAAACAGCCATTGTGATAGATGGAGCCAGGAGGAATTAATCCTGCACCCCAGTGGAGAATTCTTCAAGGGGTTGCAAGTCCCATGTTTGACTTGGTGCACCCTTCCCCCTGCTCCCCAGAGGGATGCAGGCACGGCAAGGCGACAGGCTGAGCTCCATTCCCCGGGGTCCTGCTACCAGCATCAGCTGCAACCCAAGCTGGGGCAGGGTGGAAGCAGGCAGGGCCCTGGAGCCCACGGCCAGTGCTGCCTCCCTGTACCACAGCTGGCCTCACCAGCAGCTCCCTCCTTCCCTCCCTCCGGCGGGAGTACCGCGACTCTCCAGCCCCCCCCCAGCCCCTGGCCAAGGCACAGACGGACACAGTGCTGCGGCAAAAGTGTCTTTATTGATGGCACCAGGGCACAGGTGGCAGCTTATCTGTACTTCTCAGCCAGCACGGCAGCCACAGCTGACAGGAACTTGTCAAAGGCAGCGTGCACCTCAGGGGTGTAGTCCTTTTCCAGATGCACAGCCAACACCACCTGGAAGCACTGCGACAGCAGCTGCAAGGCAAAACAGGAATCAGCACTGCTGCTATCGCCCCCAGCCCCCCTGGCCTGGTCACTGTCCCCTGTCCCCTGCCCCCCATTCCCCATCCCTCTTCCCCTGTTCCCCATCCCTTGCTCCCCGTCTCCCATCCCTCATCCCCTGCCCCCCATCCCTCATCCCCTGTCCCCCATCCCCTGCCCCCCGTCCCCCATCCCTCATCCCCTGTCCCCCATACCCTGCCCCTCCGCCCCCCATCCCTCATCCCCTGTCCCCCCTCCCCTCCCCACCGTCCCTCATCCCCTGTCCCCCGCCTGCCTTGAAGTTGACAGGGTCGACGCGCAGGTTGTAGGCATGCAGGTTGCTGAGCTCAGACAGAGCCTGGCTGAGGTTGTCCACGTTCTTGACGGCGTTGGTCAAGGCAGCCACCACCTTCTTGCCGTGGCCGCGGATCTGGTCGGAGCCATGGCTCAGGTCGAAGTGGGGGAAGTAGGTCTTGGTCGAGGGGTAGGTGATGAACAGCCTGCCAGAGCGGGACGGTCAGTGCCGCTGACCCCCAGCTGGACACCCCCCCAGCCCCCCCATGGGGCTTCCACCCACTTGCCCCCCTCGCCCATGGGGTCCCCGGGCCCGGCTTGCACCTCTCCAGGGCTTCGGCTCCGAAGGCCTCCTGGTGACCGACCACCTTCTCCCAGGTCTGCTGGATCAGCTTCTTGTCGTCAGCGGTCAGCATGGCGGCGGCTGGCAGCGGAGGGCAGGTCTTGGTGGCAGCGGTGCCTGTGGGGACGCTCTCTTATAGCAGCCGGCACCTCCGTCCCGGCCTTATCTTATCAGCGCCGAGGGGCGGGGGGACACGGCTGCGCAGCGCTGGGCCCAGGGAGTGGCTGTGGCTCTGCCTTGGGGGGCCCCGGCTGCCTCGGGGGGCCCAGCCCCAGGGGGGCCCGGCTGCCCTGCCCAGCCCCGCTGCACCAGCCCCACACCAGCCTGAGGGCTGGGGGCAGCACCCGGCTGGGCTACCCCACGGTCAACAGCAGCCACAGGCATGTTCTGTGGGTGCCACAGCCTCAGCCTCATGGCCGGCACGTCCTCACGCCTCCTGTCGGGACCCACCATTGCCCTCCAGCCGGGCGAGGGTCCTCCCTGGCTCTGCGGGTGCTGGAGTAGGTCCCAAATGTATCCCTGGTCCCTCATGTCCTCCAGCCTCCAGTGCATCCAGCCCTCTCTGCCCGAAGAACCCCTGGTTCTCTGAGCAGCAGCCGTGGACAAACCCTCCTGGGTTGTGCTGGGGATCTGCCACGAGAAACGCCATCTCTCCAGCAGCCCAGAGAAACCTGGGTGGGGAAGACCTCCCTTTCGGGCACACGGTCTTTCCAAAGTCTGTGCTTGTCAGGCCTGGGCTTCTTCCCCTCTTCCCACCCCAGTGTGTGCTCCTGCCTCTCCCCATACACACTGGGACATCCCGCAGGGCATATGGTGGTTGTTGACCGTCACATCCTTCGCTCATCCTCGGTATGAAGTCATTGGCACAAATTTGGATTTAAATGCTCAGGTTGCCTGAGACCCACAAATATAGAATGTTTTAAAAACTTCTGTGGTACATTGGATGACATGTTGGGAGCAATTTGGTGGCTTCAGAGCTTCTGCACTGTCTCTCTCCCCCTTGCCCAAACACAGTCCCTATATTTGTAAATGAGATGAGGACCACAGCTTGCAGTGGCAGCTCAGGTTGTCAGTTAGAGTGTGCTTAAGACTTTGCACCTACCTTTCATGTTAGAAGTCCTCTGAGACAGGCGTGGGCAGTGTATGTAACTTGGTAAATAATTTTCTTCACAAAAAGCTCACATGATCCTGTGTTTTAGACTTTTAACTAAACCAGCCCTGATAACACACCAGTGTTCTGGCTTTTGCTGAGCAGCATCGAGGCCATCTCTGCTTCTCACTCCGTCACCACAGGGAATAGGTTTTTGGGTGCACAATATGCTGGGAGGGGACATAACTGGGCAGATAACCCCAACTAACCAAAGAGGTATTTCATACCATATAACACCATGCTCAGCAATAAAAGAGAAAAGAGGGGTCTTCAGGGAATTTTAGGTGGGTTACCCATCTTTTTTACTCAGGAACTGACTGGGCAGTGGTCTACCCATGGGTGGCAGTGAATGATTGCCTTTGCATCACCTGTTTTGTTTTGCTTTCTTCCCTCTTCTTCCACTCATCCTTCACTTATTAAACAATTATTTCTATTTGTTTGTTTGTTTGTTTGATCTTGACCCTCATTTTTTCTTGCTTTTTTTCTTCCTTTCCTCTTCCCCTCATCCCGTTGAGTGGGTGAAGTAAGCAAGTGACTGTGTAGTGCTTAGCTGACTACCAGGATTAACCCACAACAGATACATATGGGGGATACCTGTGTTCCCCCTCAGGGTGACCATCAGTTTTATACTCTTCCCTGTCGCTGCTTTCCAGAGAAATCCTGGGAATTTGTGGTCCCTCAGGTGTCATCAACACTGATCTTCAGTGTCTACTAGTATTCCCCAATTTCAAGTGTATGTAAAGTTCCATATAAAAATAATAGATGTCAAACTGAGGGGATGGTCCCTTTACCAAACGTGTCTAGCAGGTGTGATAGACCAAGGTGTTCATGAAGCACATCACATACCCTGTCCGTCCACCATGGACAGGAGAATGAGAAGACAGTGCCCAGCATCACTCCGGGCACGTCACAATATATGGCAATGCAGGCTTTGTTCACAACAGGCTGTGATAGGTTTTGGATAGACCAAACCAAAATCCCGGTTCCATTCAGTATCCTAGCAGAATAAAAGGCTGTTTCATGGTCAGCCTGGAAACAGGCTTCAGTGGATGCACCTTTGGTGAGCAGTAGCAGTCACGGGGCTTTAGCCTGTTCTAGGCTTCTGCTCAATGTTATGTTATGAAATGTTATGTTATGTTATAAAATGTTATGTTATGTTAAGTCATGCCATGTCTTGTCATGTCATTTCATGTCATGTCATGTCATGTCATGTCATGTTATTCCCACTGAATTTACACAGTTTAGCACATGAATTAGTACGTGAATTCATTAGTACATGGATCAGTACATGAATTTACACAGCTTAGTATTTTCTCCTCCATATTGCATAGATGTTTCAGAACACCCCTGCCTAAACAGTAAGGTGTAGGTGGAATGCGTGGAGATGAAGCACAGAGACCATAAGTCACATTTGAATTATTTATTGGGTTTTGCAGATGACCAAGCCCCTGTGTAGGTGATTTGAGAGGACTGCATGGGAAGGGATGAATACCCCAGAGCCTGGCAGCGGGGGTGTGCCATGGATGTGCAACCCTCACACCTATGTGGAGGCCATTTATCTGTACTTCTCAGTCAGAACAGAGGAAACACTGGACAGGAACTTGTCCCATGCAGCATGAACTTCTGGGGTGAAGTCACTGGGATAGCGGGCAGCCACGGAGCACAGGATACAGTGGGAAAGCAGCTGTAAGGGAAAACAGGATGAAATCCATCATAATCAGTAGCAGATGCCAGTCCAGAGGTCTGCAATGGACCTTGGTCTCAGCGTGCTCTGGAATGTCAACTATGTGTCCCAAACAGGTAGCGCTGCTGCCTGGTGCTATGTGTGAAGAAGCAGAGTTGCCTTTGGTATAGTGAAAAAGGCAACTCTGGTATAGTGCTTGATCCCACTCCTTCCAAACGTCCCTTCCTTCCTCACCAAAGGGAAATGCAATGAAGTGGAAAAGTTTAGAATTTACTAAGAATTTGTTCAAGACAGGTGATATAGCCTGACGTGTGAGGGAGATTCATAAATTACAACAAAGACAGCAGAGTCTTGAATCCATCTAACACAAACCACAGGAGCCCCCTGAGTAGTGCTTTGCTTGAGCTGGACCAGATCTTTCATTAAAAGATCCAATCTCAGGTTAAAAATCAGGTGGGGAACAAGCAGCAACAGGAGTTGACAAGACTGTGCAGTGCAGTCAGGGATCAACCTGCCACTAGACAAAATTATCTGTGATCTGTAATTCTGCGATGGTAGTTTTCATCCCTGAAAGTCTCTGTGCTCACTCACCTTGAAGTTCACTGGGTCCACCCTGAGGATATAAGCATGCAGCTCACTGAGTTTGGCCAAAGCACCTCTAATGTCATCAATGTGCTTCACAGCTTCCCCAATGGCATTTATGACCTTGGAGCCATGACCACGAAGCTGAGCTGAGCCTTGGCTGAGATCAAAATGAGGGAAGTAGGTTTTCGTCGAGGGGTAGCTGAAGAAAAGCCTGGAGGGGAACATGGGAATGAGATTCAGCGGTGGAAATGGCATGCATGAGATGGTAAAACCTCAGAGCAAGTGCAATGTAAACCCGCCAGCTACAGAAGTGATCTGTTTCAGCAGTTGTAACTGAGTTTTGGGAGCTTGAAGTTTGCATCAGGAAGGTCTTTCTGCTCTTAAACCTCTTCTGCAGTATGCGCAGATTAGACAGTGGGTTAATCTGTACGTACTAGAAAAGAATGAAATGTTAAAAATAGTTTTAAACTTAACATATTTTTGGAGTTTTGGTGGCTTTTTGGAAAAAAAATTATAGCTCCAAAGTGTCACTACATTTCCCATACTAAAATGTAAGCCAGTTTGCAGGATCTTCAAACTAATATGAGCTGAACGAACCAGAATTGATATGAGTGGTACTCAGAGTCCTGAAAGGAGTATCACAATACTTTATATCGAGCTGTAAATAACATTTAAATAACTTTGAAGAACATAGTAATTTCTGAACAATTTCCAGACTATTATCCCTTTTGGGCCAGCTAGCTTAATTTGTATGATCTTTGGTCTACTGTACTATACTTCATGCAGGCAGTCCAGTTGTCTTGTTTCCTAACAGTTTGTTATTATCAGCTGGAACAATGAAACATGAGTATCCAGTGAATTTAGCGGATAGCTATTCTCTTGATGCCTAGAAATTGCAAGAGAAAGTGCATCACTTGTGCAATAAACCACTTGAAGTTCATTTCCTAACAGTATTAACCCTGTTTCAGGACACTAAGTATGAATGAATTTGAATTCCTTGCCAGGGATTCTGGCTATGAATTCTTCTGAATTGCTATAATGAGAAATAAACGTACAGAATTGCTTAGAAAATTATGTTCTGCTATGAGGTTTTGAAGCATTTAGTAGCACAGATATAATTCCAGAAAATTACATATCAAACAACAGAGAGGTCATCCATCAGCTCTCACCAGTCCCAGTGTGCTCTCACTCATGCAAGTTTTCCATGAGATGCATGATAATAGCAAAGCTGGAGGAGCCAAACTTTTCGGAGGAGTTCTGGGGGAACTTACCTCTCCAACGATTCCGCCCCAATGGCCTCGGCTTGGGGAGCCACCTTTGCCCAGATGGTGACCACGGCGGCCTTCTCAGCTTGAGTCAGCGTCATTGCGCGGGAGGGTGCAGGCTCAGGCTCCTCGCGATGAGCGCTCGGGGCAGGTTTGGACTCATCGCCATGGCAGCCCGGGTTATAAAGAGGAAGGGGAGAGTGGACCTTGGCGCCTGTCCACACTCATTGGCCACTCCAAGAGGCCCACCCATGGAGGTGGGAGACTCTTATCTCCCCAGGAAACAATGCCTATTTCGGCAAGGGTCAGTGCACTGGCCTCCTTGCTTGCTGGCCTTATCAGCTTCTTGCTTCTTAACGTAATGGCTGTGTGGCCTGAAGAAATTGTCTGGATACGTATTGATACATGAACAGAGAGATAATGCTGGAATATTTCAGCGAC